ATATGATATATATTGTGATACAGCATAAGTGAAACATTAAGCAGTCTTATCATAGACAAATCACTTTGATATTTTCCATTATGTTCTATTTTACTTGTTTAAAATGGTAGTAGCAGTCCACTAAATTGACTTAACAAGAGCTCAAACTGTGAAAATTCTATTTTAGGGAATTCAGTGTTCTCTCTATAATTGTAAGATAATCCATTCATGATACAGTACTTGATTAGTCTGGTAAAATTATATTGTGATGGACTATATTCTGCTATATCTAAGTTTAGAGTACTGCTACCTGTGGGCTCCAGCCTTGCCCTTTCTGAATATAACCTTGTGCCAGCAGCAGGTGTAGCACTGTGTGAATTTTCTAATGTAGCAATGATAATTAGACTCACAGTAAGATAATTATATTTTTGGTTCTAAATGTCATATTCTTCCAAACTCAAAAGTTGTCGAACAAAGTAGGACTGACTTATACTGACTCAGCATTCCTACTTAAAAGATAGCATCTCAAGAAATATTATGAGTCAGACAAAATAACAATCAGAAGTAGCAAGTTACAAAAGAGTACGTATTCTATAATTCTATATATTAGGAAATTCAATAAAAGACAAAAATAATCTATGTTGTTTTAAGTCAAAATGCTGGTTCTGACATAAGGGTGAGAGTGCTGGCTGCCTGGGAAGGTGACAGGAGGGAGCCTTTTGAGTAGTGATTCCATGGTAGATATATAATAAAAATTCATCAAATTGTATACTTTAGATTTTTGTACCTAATTTTGCATATATTAGATTTCAGTAATATTTTAAAAAAGAAATTAAAAAAGAGAAGCCATCTTTATTAGCCAAAACAAACAAACAAACAAAAATATGACTAAAAGATATGCTTCCCTAACAGAATGACCCAGCCCTGTTGTGAAACTGAGATGGATGAAGGGGTCATCATAGTGGAATTTCCCACCCTCATAGATAGTCAGCATCCACAACTATAAATTGATTGACATATTTCAGATGGGGGATTAAACTGCTTTTGAAATCAAAAAAGTAGGGAATTACACTACAGAACAATCAGTTATTTATTATTTGTTTTTGGTGAGCCACATGAAAATCATTGTGATTTTTATGTTTTTTCAAACTGTTACATCACCCGTTAGTGAATCGTGAAACCAAAGTTTTAATGAGATACAAGTGAATATTAAATAAGAATGCAATATACACGGAAAAGGTAACTAATGTTTTGACAGACTTTTGTTTCAGTTACATATGTGAGTATGGTGAAAATATGTGTTTTTATTGTGGACTCAAGTGAAAAAAATACAATAAAAAATTTTAAAAATTAATATAATTCCATTGCACAACACTTTGACCTGAAGCCATGAGCTGGAAATTACTGACATGTAGGACATCTTGCACAATTGCCATTAGCACTTTGCTTTTGCTATTAAAGTATCACAGGTTGAACACATTCTTTTTTTTATCCCAAAGACTTCAAAACTATAAACACATTCTTACCTGCCCTAAAATTACATTAGTAAGGAGGAAATAAATTGCTAATTTGGAGCATGACAATCCATTTGCAGCTGCTAAAAAAGAATTTGCATGCTTATACAAAATACTCTAAATTGTCCACTCCATTGGCATGTTGTAAACCACCCAACCATTTTTGCCTTCCTCATCAAAAATGAGCATGGCGGCTCTGAGAACTGTTGGGCAGTAAAAAACAATGCTCCCTACCATCAACATTAGGTAGATAAATACGTAACACCCGAATCAGCAGAATGAAAACTATGCTCCTTGAATACAGCTTTAGTTCTCTTTGAATAAATGCTACCAAATTAGTTCTGATGTCAGTGCTTCATTCTAGGAGAACTGGGTACTCTCTTGAGGGTTAGGGAACAACTAGATCTTTGGGTGATTGCAATGGGCCACATGCTTACCAGTAAAAGAGATTGCTTACAAAAGAGAACAAAGTGACTTGAAACATTAAAAATACTGACACATATCATTTTTTAAATGGTCAGTCAGAATTTTTGGTCAATAAATTAATCATATGCTTATATACTCTGTTTCTGGAATTTGCAATTATGTAATTAATAATAAATAATATGCAAACTTCTTGTCAATAAAGCATATCACTTGAAAACAGTAGACCTCTAAATATAATCATGAAATAGAAGTGCAATTTTTGTTTTTAAACTTCAACTAAAAGAAAAAATTAGGGCCGGGTGCGGTGGCTCAAGCCTGTAATCCCAGCACTTTGGGAGGCCGAGGCGGGCGGATCACGAGGTCAAGAAATTGAGACCATCCTGGTCAACATGGTGAAACCCCATCTCTACTAAAAATATAAAAAAAATTAGCCGGGCACGGTGGTGCGTGCCTGTAATCCCAGCTACTCAGGAGGCTGAGGCAGGAGAATTGCCTGAACCCAGGAGGCGGAGGTTGCGCAGAGCCGAGATGGTGCCATTGCACTCCAGCCTGGGTAACAAGAGCGAAACTCTGTCTCAAAAAAAAAAAAATTATTAAAAATATGTAATGTAATACATCTATTCTCCTGCATGAATTTAGGGTTTCTAGCAGCATTCAAAGAACCTGACTGATCATATTATTTATTTAAAAGTATATCTGAAAACAGAAACAAAAATAAAAAAATACATGAGTTAATGAGACTATCAGCAATTCAGAAAGGGTAGCATTAGAACAAAAATGTTGATTACTTTCTGGAAAATGAAAAGCAAATGGATATAACGGTTGCAAACTATAAGGTAAATATATAAAAATTAATTTTATATGAAACAAATACATTTAAAATAAAACAATGTTTTATAAGATATAATTAATTAATGGCAACAGAAAGTATAATGTAACTAGATTAAACTATAATTTTAAAAATATATAAAATATATTTACATCAAAGAAGCTGTAAATACATGAGAAGCCATAACATGTTCACAGAAACTTAAATATATACAGATGTTGATTCTTCCCAAAATAACCTACAAATTCAATAAAGCAAGATTTTTGGTGCAACTCATATGGACAAGATAAGAGTGAAGATTAGCCAAAGCAATACTTTAAAAGAATGGCTAGAGGTCGGGGGTGGGGGGGGCAGTTTGGAGTGATGACAAAGGACATAAAATTTCCATAAGACAGCAGAATAAAGTTCAAGAGATATATTGTACAACACGGTGAGTATATGACTATAGTTAATAACGATGTATTGCATTTTGAAAATTGCTAAGAGTAGATTTTAAGTGTTTTCACTATAAAAATAAGATAGATTATTTGAGGTAATGCATGTATTAATTAGCTCAGTTGAGCCATTCCACAATGTATACATATTCTAAATCAAATTGTACATAATAAGTATATAAAATTTTTTGTCAATTAAAAGTAAATAAATAAGATAGGAGAACATATCTCATCCGATATCAAGACTTATGAAGCCGAGAAACCACCAGAATAAAGAGTCCAGAAATTCTCAGTTAAATATGGTAATTTCATAAGGGATAGAACTGGCATTAAAAAAATCCTTCCATCCCATTAAAATATAAATTTATATTATAATATTATATTAATAAAAATAATTGTTCAAAAGTTATATCATTATTTCTAATTTTATTGATTAATTATGTCCCAATAGTATGATTATAATTCAATACAGAAGAAAATTTTAATTTGTAAAGCCTTATAAACATAGGAAAATAAAACAAATACATTTTCATTCATTTAAAGTTTTTTTTGCAGCAAAATGATAGGGTGATCATTTCCCAGGACAGCGATTATATATTATCAGGATAAGATTCCAGGTGTATATGGAATAGAAATAAGAGCTAACAGAGAAAAAGAAAAGATCAAGTTTTGAGAATAAAAGAATAATGCATAAATTTTCTTTTAAATGGATGGTTATGCATATAATGCTGTAGTATTTAGATTCTACTGATAACATTTAAAAGAATTACATAATAACAGATTTCTTTAAAATAGAAGTATATTCATATATCCAATGATTTTAATCACTGGAAAACAAACAAAAAAAATCAATTAAAAGTTGGTATAACCATAAGACTAAGTTGAATTTAAGTCAAGAAACATTCTAATCGCAGATATAGAAACACATCTGTGTATCTAGATAGAAATTTAGTATATAATAAATTTTGCATTTAAATCAATGGCATAAATGAAGATGGGCATATAAATAAATGATGGTGGAATAAAAATAAGTGGCTTTTATGCATGGTTCGCCATGCACAAATAAGAATAAATTTTTGAGTCAATTAAATATGCAAATTATATAGAACATAAATTAAGAAGGAGGTCTTTAAGAGGATAATACTACCAAAAATCCACAATGAAAAGGACTAAAATATTCAGTAATATAAATGTCAAACTTCTATTTAACCCATGATTGAAGCTAATAGTCTTCATAATTACGTTTTACATAAAGCAGAAAAAGAGGCAAAATCAGTCTACACTGTTAGAAGTTGAAAGAGTAGTTAATTTTTTTGTGGGGGTGTAAGGGTGTCATTAGTAATCAGAAAGGAAACTGGGGGTAGGAGAGCATCTGGTAATGTATTTATTTAATTTTATGTTTCTTGATCTGGATGCTAATTAAATGAGGATGGTTTAAATTGTAAAATTTCATAGGATATACACATTAGATAGATGCTTTTCCGTGTGTATATTATAGTGAGATAAAACATGAGAATGGACACATGCACACATGGTATCTGTTTGTCTAGCTAGCTAGTTACAGTATGTATCCTCCACATATCAAATTGTCAATACTGGTAAACAGGTATGGAAGTAGCACAAGAGGCTAGTGAGAGAAGAGAATGAAGATCAGGATAAACTTTTACTTTTGATTTTAAATTGATTTATATCTATATATTTACATAAGGAGTATGTATTATTTCTATTTTTAAGTGAAAAAAGCCTAGACATATAACATATAACATTCAAGACTTGTGACTTAGATATGTCAAGGTAATTCTGTAGGGCATACTCTACCTGTGAATCTAATATATTGGAAATTTCATGTGCACCAACATTTACTTCATCCAACTGCAAGCAAAACAAGTTTCTGGCAACCTGGACAAAATCTAAAATGGAACACATTTAAGTAAGAACACAGCATTTAACCCTTCTCAATAAATTTTACTTTATTCTATATGAAGTTGCGAATGCTTCCAATTTAACCCACATATATTATCTTAAAATAGTTCTGACTCAAGTGATAGATAAATGTAAGTTCAAAGAAGAACAGACAAATTGGTTTGTACTTACTTCAGTTAACTTTTCTAAAATTAATAATTCAGTTAAGATAATAAAACAAATACATATCATGACATTTAATTTTTCAACTCTTGTATTATGAGTAGAACTTTTTCTGAAACATGACAATATTATGATTTATGGCTTTTCTAGCTGGAAAAATCTGAAGTTTCATAGCAATTATTATTACTGTTATTTTTTTTAATAGCAGCAAATGTTTATGTTAACAGCTGCTCTATGCCGAGCATACTGCTTAGCAATGTCATCCTCCCAACAGTTTTCTGAGGTACTTCCTCTTATCCTGTCCATTTTACAGATAAAAAATTGAGGCTGAGACAGGTTAAATGTCTTAAACTATCCAAGGACACTTGGAAAAAGTAAAAATAACAGTTTATAGGCTTCTTCTGACATGGAGAGTAACCTACTCATCTGTGTATCCTCAAATACTTTCCACTTTGCATATTATATTTTTTCCAAGTATCCTTTTAAATGTTCTCTGATTGTTCCTGTTTTGCAACATACTACTTTTATTTCCTGGTTGCATTACCTTCACTCATCTTTTTAAAGATGTTATGAGAGTTTACCTGAAGTTCTTTTTTTTTTTCTTTGAGGTGAAATCTCACTGTTACCCAGATTCGAGTGCCATGGCAAGATTTCGGCTCACTGCAAACTCAGCTGCCCAGGTTCAAGCGATTCTCCTGCCTCAGCCTCCTTAGTAGTTGAGATTACAGGCATGTGCCACCACACTCAGCTAATTTTTGTATTTTTAGTAGAGACAGTGTTTCACCATACTGGCCAGGATGGTCTCAAACTCCTGACTTCAGGTGATCTGCCAGCCTCGGCCTCCCAAATTGCTGGGATTACAGGCACAAACGACTCCACCTGGCCTCTGACCTAAAGTTCTCTTCTGTGCTTCTTCATTTCTTTTTTCTGTCTGTCTGATAGTTTTGGGTTCTATATTTTATGTTGGAGGATTTCTCCAAATCTCTGGTGACTCTTGACTATGAGTTCATATTTAATAATCTGGCACTAAAAAAGCTGGTTGGAAACTTTATGTGTGTAACTTGCTTTGTCAACTGGCAGCTTTTACTACAGGGCAATCTGATGGCCAGCTGACATTTTTGTTCAGCTTCTTCAGAGAGAATACTATAGCCTTCTGCCTACAGTAATAAACATGGCGGTGAAATTCCCTGAGCAATCTGTGTGTGTATTATGAGTGATGACTCACTATATACTCCACAAACTCCCTTGCTGCTGGCAACTATAGGTCCACAATCTCTGGTTTAATTTCACAAAGGAATACACTTCTTTTCCCCTGGAGATGTAGAGTGGTAATGCCAGACTACTTGAGAAGGGGCAGAGAAAAGCATGCATAATTCTCTTTATTAAGATTTCTAACAATCCTGTTTTAATATCCGGCCTAAAAACTCAGTCTCCAGAAATACCTGACATCTTCAATTCCTAAACCATTTTAGGGTCAAATCAACTTGTTCCTCATTGTAATTTTCCTCTCTCTTCACACACTTGGGCTTTACTTGTCTTTGCTCACTAATTCATTTATTTTCCCCATCCATTTGCTGTCCTTAGATATTGTGGTTTTAGGTGTATGTGTTTTTCTGTTTCTTGTTTTCATTATTATTTTGGAATGATTTTCAAGAGGAGATGGGATGAAAAATATCTTTTTTTCATCACTTCAGAACCAAAAGGTCAATTTTCTTTTTTCAGCAATACAGAAACTGATACAATGTTATGTCTACTATACAAGAAAATTAAATAGTGATTTAATTTAATAGTGACAAGACAAAAAGTGTTACATTAACATTACTGGTGGTAGAACAAATATATGTGTAAAATATCTCTGAAAAACAATTTACCAATATGTATCAAAAGTCCAAACCATTTGTGAGGATTTGGCTTAAGAAAGAAAAACAGCTACATTCACAATGATGATAAATACATATTTGTAACATCAACTACTGAGAAACCATCAAAACTCACAATAGTAGAAAGGCTTAATATTACAGTACAACAACTAAGTGGTACATTATGGTATCTTTAATAAGAATAGAGTTGACCCCTGAACAACATAGGCTTGAACTGCACAGGTTCACTTATACATGAAGTTTTTTCAAACAAATGAATCAAATATGCAGTATTTGTGGGTTGCAAAAGTCATATATATGGAGGGTCAACTTTTCCTATATGTGGGTTCTGCAGGACTGACTATAAGATTTAGTATGGCTGGATTTGGGTATACGCAGGGGTCCTGGAAACAATTCTCCTCCCATACCAATGGATGACTATAATTACACAGCATCATAAAAATATTTACTATATTAGCTGAAAAGGATTAGACTTAATCTCACAATAGTGAAATCAGAACTTCCATATTTTGTACTGTTCCTTTTGTTATCACTAAAAAAATAAAAAGAATATGACAGAATGATGTTTAGAGCTGAAAGGTCCTAATAACATTCTTCTTTCTGCTGACCCTGCCAGGTCAATAATTCTAGTAATACAACACAATAAACCTAATATTACCTCCAAAAGACACTGTCCCTTTTGAGTCTGCTTGCACTTGCTGTCTCAGGGCTTGGTGTTGTTCCTTTGTGGGCTGAATACCAAGATAATTTAGAGCCTGGAAGATAAAGGACTAATGAATAACAATTTTTCCAATCTCCAAAAAATAAAACTTTTCATTACACACTGTACTGCCCAGTGAGAATAACCAATACCAGAAACAGTGACCAGGATTAAACACCAAAGGGAAGTCTGCTGTTTATGGATTAGGTTCCTATAAAAGATTAGCTTTCTGATTTTACTACTACCTCATTTTTTCCCCAAGACTAGCACTTTGGCTAATACCAAATTGATGAACATTGCCCTAGAACCAAAAATCAAACTGTTTTTTAGTTTATATCATTTGGCAGAAGCAAAATGGCAAAAAAAAAAAAAAATCCTCCTATATCAGATTTATAAATGATACTCTAAAACATGAGTAATATTTGGTTAATATCTTGTCTTTGAGAGCAAAACTAAAGTTGACAGGAATTAGGTTCGACATACAATCTTCTAATTTTTGGCTTGTTAAGGGAAGGCTCACACAAATAGTAAACTAAAAGGCTTCACTTTTCTCTTTCATCAGGCGCCCCTTAAGGGAAAAGCTCTTTCTCATTTTGGTATCCAAAAGTGACTAAAAACTCAGAGACCGTTAATTGTACTCCAATGTCCATTCTCTTCTTGCTCTTTAGTAACTGAATGAACCATAATTTTCAGCCGAAAACACTGCCATGCAGCTAAAAGACATTTCCCAGCCTCATTTACATCTCCAGGCAGCCATGCAACTAACTGTGTACTAGTCAATGAGACCCAAGGGGAAGTGCCACAGAGTTCCCCTAGGAAGTTTCCTTTCAAAAATAGGGGTAAGCACTTCTTGTCCATTCACATTAATAAGGGAGAAAGAAGCAGAAAAAAGATGAAAGGAAGGAAGTAAAGAAAGAGGGACCAAAGGAATTGGAGCAGTATTTTTTGGTTCATGTGGTACCTCAATAAAGATGATGGAATAGAAAGATAATTGAAACATGGGTTCCTGACACTGTGGAAACTTCACGGCAGCCCTGGATTACCTTCTTTCAGGCTTCTTTTTGGTGTGAAAGAAATTTCTAAAGGAAACCACTGTTATTTTGAGTTCACCAGTTATATATAGCAAAATCTAACTTTAATGCACAGGGACTGATTGGATGTCCTATTATTGGATTCTGGCAAGAGCATATATAGTGTCGATCACATCAAAACTAAAATGTAGGCAAAGTTTAGCATTGGTAATTATCCCTTACAAATGTCTTCCTCCTTTGGAATCTTGTTCAATCATTTAGTATTTCATTCATCATATATTTATTCGTTGCTTACTATTTGTCAGCCACTAAACTATGCATAGGTGATAGATAAATGAAATATAGTCTCTCACCCCAAAGAGTTTATGGTCTCTAGTATGAGAACAACTGTTAATAAATAAGTAAAACATGTAATTTAATAGAAGTATGTATGGGTATATTCTGACACAAAGCAACTGGTTAATTTTTAAGTAAGCAATTTGGAAACAATGAAAAAGAATGGAGAAAGAGTATTAGGAAAGATTCTTTCAAAAATGATTCTTAAGCTTAGTCTAGCATCATCTGCTTATCTTGTCTAGCAGTCAAGTATTTGCATTGTATAATACTGCATAAAGATTTTTAGCTTCTGTATGTTTTATTCTCTTCAGTTATAAATGTTTCAAATATACACACAAAAAATGATACAAAGAACACTCATATGCTCACTATCATCAATTACTCATTGATATTTACTTAAAATTTATGTATATATTTTCAATAAATAAAACCACACATTTGGTTAAAAGTTTTTTATATTGTTCCTTAGCAGGAACTACTATCCTATGTATTCTTGCTAGTCCTAATTTAATAATATTTAATATCTACGCAAGTATTCCCTAATAATATGTACTCTTATTTTGCACATTATAAAGTTTTACAACAAGAGCATAATCTAAAAGAGTAACTCTACAAATTATTTTTATTTTTACTTCAATTTTATAATTTTATAATTGCTCAATATTGTTTTTAAAACTAGTTCACTTATTTTAACTGTAAATGGCAATCCATTGAATAAATTTATTATAATTAATTATCCATTCCCTAACAGGCTTTTATACTACGCCAATCTGTTTTTTTTAAATTATAGAACATTACATGTCTCTTTGTATAAATGTGTGAAAATGTCTCTAACATTATATCCCTAGAAAAGGAAATCCTAAGTCATAGGGGATATATTGTCAATTTTATTAGATATTGTTTAATTGTTCTCCAAACTGGCTTCATCAATTTATGCAAACCCAGTAGTGTGTAAGTATTCCTATTTTTCTACATTCTTAACAGCATCTGCTGTTTCTACTCTTTTGTCTCTGTTGTATATGAAATAATATGCTGTTTGTCAATTTGAATTCCCATAGTTACAAGTGCAATTAAACATCATTTACATGTTTATTAGCAATGTTTTTGACTCATAAATTATTTAAAATATATTTTAAATTTTCATACATAGGGTTTTAAGAAGTATTTTTTTTACTGATTTTGAATTTGGTCCCTGTCTTCCAGCTGTGACAACCAAAAATGTCTCTGGACATTGCCAAATATCTCGAGAAGAAAAACTGCCACCATGCCCTTGAGAACCAGTGCTCCAAAGACAATTGCTGTATTAAATATTTTCTCCCATTCTGTGGGTTGTCTCTTTACTCTGATTGTTATAATATTTGATATACAGAAGCTTTTTAATTAGGTTCCATTTATTTATTTTTGTTTTGTTGCATTTGCTTTTGGGGCCTTAGTCCTAAATAATTTGTCTAGGTCAATGTCTAGAAGAAAGTTTTCTAGATTAACTTCTAGAATTTTAATGGTTTCAAGTCTCAGGTTTAAGTCTTTGGTCAATCTTGAGTTGATTTTTATATAAAGGAAGAGATCAGAACATGCAATGTTTGGTTTTCCATTCCTGAGTTACTTCACTTAGAATAATGGTCTCCAATTCCATCTAGGTTGCTGCAAATGCCATTATTTTGTTCCTTTTTATGGCTGAGTAGGTATATATATGTAGGTATACATATATCACATTTTTTAACCCACTCATTGATTGATAGGAATTTGGCCTTGCTTCATATTTTTGCAATTGCATATTGTGCTGTTATAAATGTGTGTACAGTTATCTTTTTTGCATAATGACTTCTTTTCCTCTGGGTAGATAACCAGTAGTGGGATCACTGGATCAAATGGTAGACAGACTTTTAGTTCTTCAAGAAATCTCCACACTGTTTTCCATAGAAGTTACACTAGTTTACACTCTCACCAACAATATAAAAGTGTTTCCTTTTCACCACAACCTCATCAACATCTATTATTTTTTTGATTATAGCCATTTTTGCAGGAGCGAGGTGGTATTACATTATGGTTTTGATTTGCAGTTCCCTGATAATTAGTGATGTTGAGCATTTTTTCATGTTTCTTGGCCATTTGTATATCTTCTTTTGAGAACTGCCTATTCATGTCCTTAGCCCACTTTTTGATGGGACTGTTTGTTTTGTTCTTGCTGATTTGCTTGAGTTCCTTGTAGATTCTGGGTATTAGTCCTTTGTCGGATGTATAGATCATGAAGATTTTCTCCTACTCTGTGGGTTGTCTGTTCATACAGCTGATTATTTCTTTTGCTGTGCAGAAGCTTTAAGTTTGATTAAGTCTCATCTATTTATATTTGTTTTTGTTGCATTTGCTTTTGGGTTCTTGGTTATGAAGTTTTTGTCTAAGCCAATGTCTAGAAGGGTTTTTCCAATATTATCTTCTAGAATTTTTATGGTTTCAGGTCTTAAATCTAAGTCTTTAACCCATCTTGAGTTGATTTTCGTACAGGGTGAGAGATGAGGATCCAGATTAATTATTTTACATGTGGCTTGGCAATTATCCCAGCACCATTTTTTTGAATAGGGTGTCCTTTCCCCACTTTGTTTTTGTTTGCTTTGTCAAACAAAATAAGTATTTGGCTTAATTTCTGGGTTGTCTATTCTGTACCATTGGTCTACATGCCTGTTTTTACACTAGCACCATTCTGTTTTAGTGACTATGGCCTTATAGCATAGTTTGAAATCTGGTAATATAATGCCTCCAGATTTGTTCTTTTTGCTTAGCCTGTGGGCTCTTTTTTGCTTGTATATGAAATTTAGGTTTATTTTTTCTAGTTCTGTAAAGAATGATGATGGTATTTTGATGGGAATTGCATTTAATTTTTAGATTGCTTTTGGCATATGCTCATTTTCACAATATTGATTATAGCCATCCATGAGCATGGGATGTGTTCCATTTATTTGTATTGTCTATACTTTCCTTCAGCAATGTTTTGTAGTTTTACTTGTAGAGGTCTTTCACCTCCTTGGTTAAGTATATTCCTAAGTATTTTTTTTTTTATTTTTGCAGTTATTGAAAAGGGATTGAGTTCTTGATTTGATTCTCAGCTAAACTGGTAATGAGGAAGTTAAACTGTTGCTGTTTGCTGATGACATGATCATATACCTAGAAAACCCTAAAGACTTATCCAAAAAATCTCCTAGAAGTTGTCAATGCATTCAGCAAAGTTTCAGGGTACAAAATTAATATACACAAATCTATCATTTCTTTCAGCAGTGTTTTGTAGTTCTCATTGTAGAGATTCTTCACCTTGGATAAGTATATTGGTCAGTATTTTGTTTTTTTGAAGCTGTTGTAAAAGGGATTGAGTTCTTGATTTGATTATCTGCTTGGTCACTGTTTGTGTATAACAGTGTGACTGATTTGTGTGCATTTATTTTGTAATCTGAGATTTTACTGAATTTGTTTATCAAATCTAGGAGTCTTTTGGAGGAGTCTTTAAGGTTTTTTAGGATCATATCAATGCAAACAGTGACAGTCTGACTTCCTCTTTTCCAGTTTCCCTTTATTTCTTCTGCTTGCCTGACTGTTCTGGTTAGGACTTCCTGTATTATGTTGAATAAAAGTGGTGAAAATGAAAACCATGTCTCATTACAGTTCTCAGGGGAAATGCCTTCAACTTTTCCCTATTCAG